TCCTGAATCGTGTGGAATCGTGTTGGTGGTGGTGCAGCAGAAGCAACGAATTCATTGCTAGCCCTGGCTATACCACGCGGCATCACGGAGGTGGTGTGTGGCTATGAATATTAGTGTGCTGGAAGTGTGCTTGATGTGGTACCTACATCTTGCTGTGGCTACTGCTTGAGAGTAACTTGAGGGAGGTGGATTGAGAGGGTGGCCGCTATGTGAGGATGACTCGATGGCTTTGGTTTAAGGAGGAGCCAGCCGAGGATGAGCTGATTGTGTGGTTGGCTTTGTCTGAATCAAGAGGCAGCCATTGAGAGCGTGTCTGGGTGATGACAAGATGATGAGGTAGATGAAGGACAAGGTGAGAGTTGAGGATTGTGTTGCAGGACCCGAAGCTGTAGGTTGAGTAAGGAGCTCGTGCCTGCCGTAGAGCAGTACAGGTGATGTCAACATTGATGGAAGGAAGGTGTGTGCCAGCTAGATCTGGCCCAGATAGCAGGTGCGTCACTCTTGCCTGTAGTAGAGTGAGTGGAAGTGACGTCGATATTAATAGAAGGAAGGTGCGTGCCTACCAGATCCGGCCCAGACAGTGAATACATCGCTCTTTCTGCTGCAGAGCGAGTGTAAGCGACGTCAACGTTGAGAACGGGCGGGCACCAACCTACCAGATCCGGCCCAGACAGCAAATACATTACTCTTGCCTACCGCAGCACGGGTGGAAGCATTGTCGATGTCGGCATCAGCAGCAGGAAGGCGCCTACCTGCAGCGCCGGATATGGGTCAACGCAGAAAATACATCGCTCTTGCGTGCTGTAGCAGGGGTGGAAGTGCCGTCAAACTCATTAGAAGCAAGGTACGTACCTGCCGCATACGGGTAAGGCAGCAAATACATCGCTCTCGCTAAATATGGAGGACATGGAAGTGTCGTCGACGGGTGAACGGCGCGTATCGGCAAGCCGCAGCTCCTGTTGGGACGCTATCTAAATTACGCTCGACGCCTCCATCGTCGGCTCTTCGAGAGTGAATCGTTGAAGGTTTTCGCGGAGACGCGCCTTGATAGCTCGTGCAAGCTCGCCATCTGCAACGCCATGAACTTTCGCATCCAAACGAACTGGTCCAGCAAAAGTACACTGGTTGACCTGGTGCAGCAGCATCGGAGCTGTGCGGAGTGGCGCGAGATCATGGTCTTGAAAGCCCATAGCCGTACGTAGTGAGTTTGAGTAGGTCAAGAGTTCGCCGCTCATTGTCCAGAGCCCTGCTTCTCGTATTACCTTCAAGACTGCTGGGATCTCGTTGTTGATAGCGTCAAACTGGGGAAAGGTATCAGCAGATGATGAGCAGAGAGAGGGACGACTTACAACTTTCTCCAGCACTTTAGCCCTGAAGCTGTTGTCAATGTCACTGTGGTCTCACGGTCGGACAGGTGGTATGTATGCCCAGAAGTGATGGTTCGTCTCTGCTATTGTGGCTTGACTTGGTCCAGTCTGACAATGCCACTTGTTCGTATTCGCAAGGTGGTGAAGGATCATAGCCTTGACTTCAGTGTTCAGCGTCACTTTGAGAACACCGTCTTTCTAAAACCTCAGGACTGCGGTAGGCATTCCCGTAATAGCGGCAGTGTTCGGAGGGGAGAAGAACACCCAGCAGTCATTATTTTGTCGCAAGCGCGTATTTGGCTGCTCGACAAGTCGATGGTGACATGGCGCCGGTGTGGCCCAGGGTGCAAATACGCCAAGAGAAACGATTTTACCCGATTGGTCGACCTCGGGATGCGTCGTTTCTCTTTGCATGACCTGGGACAATCGTGAGATTCGTCTCAAGCCTTCGTCAAGCTACGACAAATGATCAACGCCATTGCGCGCCTGCCCGGCATTATGGCGTCAAAGCATGTCGTCCTGCCCTTCAAGCTCTTCAGTGAGTGCGCTGACCTAAAAGCGAAGAGCCCGAAGTTCAACTGGCCTCGAAGTGAGACAATTGAGGCGCGAAACTTCATCACCAAGAATGCCCTCTGAGCCAACAACTACGAATCAATGCGAAGCTGGGTAAGTCTTTATGTACTCCGCATGCTATGAATGACACTCACGATCCTGTCTGTAGATCTGGTAATCATTAAGCAACAAGGAGCTTGGAGGTATGCTCAATCTGAGTACCGGTCTGAACACACCAGCCCCTGTTCGCCAGGAGACTCCCACCAAATCGCCATTCAAGACCACAGTCAGAACTAAGCGTTTTGGCACACCATTCACAGAAGAAGAGGAGGAGACTCCAGTTGTGAAGCGTGTGAGGGCTGACAAGAACATGGCCAAGATCGACATCACATAGCTCAACGACGATGAAGCCGAAGACGCTCTTGAGCAAGCGACTACCCTATCTACACTACTACACTCCAAATCAATGACTGTCACCGCTGCAGCAGCACTGGGTGTCGAGGCTCCGCACTCCCGTCCAGAGAAGCATGCTACCTCCGTCGCCACGATCAAGCGCCGCATCACGCCAAAAGTCCCTTTGGACAGCGAGGAGGCCGACTTGGGAGAGCAATATAAGCAGGGATTGCCCGAGAAGGGGCCCGTGCATGAGCAGTGCTTTCGGCGATTCGAACAATGGGATATCTATGAAGCTTCTGCAGGAACACGTCGACGACGGGATGCGGGAAGATGACACCCCCTGGGCGGCAGAGGGATGTGAGGGCGAGGAGTTCGAAGAACAAGTTGGCGGTGTGAACGTCGCCCCAAGCCAGGGACCTCTCCTGATGGCATTTCATCTCGCAGTCAGGAGCAGCCGGATAGGAGCAGGAACCGGACGGTGCACAATCGAGGTACGAGATCGGCTGCTACATCATATAGCGACTAACGTTCGTTGCACCATACCTCGCCCCGCGAAGCCAAAACTGACTTGACATCCCTGCGGAAGAGGTAGTTGGTGGGGAGACAACAGGGCCCCGATGGGATCGGTGCTGATGGGTTGCGATAGACAATGGCTACGGGCGCTGGGGTAGCAACAATCGAGGTCAGGGGAACGAACAAGGATTCAATTTCACACAGAATCGCGAATCGTTGCGTACCCAGTCTCGACGGCTACGTAGAGTCTACCAATAATACTAAGTTTGATGCGACCATCTCGACGTTCACGCTATCGCTATAGCCCGCAACCGGCTAGTCATAGATGACGGCGACATCACGGTACATCAGGCCCGATTGCACGTAGAGCTGCGCAGTCGCCTGGGCGTCAGGACCATCGCAAGAGTCCCAAAGAAGAAAGCGGAGCGAAACAGTAGAAGAGACAGAAGAGATCAAGCCCAGAGCAAGAAGAAGGACGAGGAGATGTTCAAGGTACCGGGTACGCAGGAAGCTCAGCGACAGACGAACCGGATGCTCAGTGGACGAATTACCTAAGCAATCATGGACGTCATACCTGGATAACACCAGAACCTCGACGAGGGAGGCGATCAGGCGCGAAGTGTACTCGGACAGGAGAGGGGGGGCTAGATGCACAAGTGACTCGACGGACGAAAAGGATCAGACGGGCAAGACCTTGGCAGAAAGAGGGGATCAGGTACAAAGGAGCCTCGAACGACAGCAGGAATCAGGGATAGCAGAGAATAAGCATACGATAATCTCGACGACCCCGAGTGACTTGAACGTAGGAACACCTTGTGTCCTGAAAGCAACAGGACGTAGCGACACCAGGTTGTCCAGGTGTCATTTAGCCAGAAGGGCCAGGCATGCCATGAAATCGTAAAGACTCAGGACTAATGTTCTCCCACGGACTCGGGTTCGTGACAAAATCTGTACCCACGAAAGCTCAAAAGCCAGAAACCGGTAGCATTTCATTCATCATGGAACATGAAACATTACATGCCCCCGATCACCAAGCCCTGGGGGGTCCACATCCATTCGTGGTGCTCGACATCGAAGGCGAACCAAGTCCCTCAGATGTAGAGTCACCCGAAGTGTTGGGTTACTCGGTTCTGCTAGTAACCCAAGTTTCTTGGCAAATTGAGTGACCCGGATTGCTGGGTTACTCGGGTTTGCTGGTGACCCAAGTTTCTTGGCAAATTGAGTGATCCGGATTGCTGGGTTACTCGGGTTTGTTGGTGACCCAAGTTTCTCGATAGATCGAATCACTCGAGCCCTTGGGTTGCACATTAACACGAGTCGTTGAAGTTCATGAACAACTCAACCTTCTCGGAGGCTCGGGCAAATCCAGCCCTTGGGTAATGCAACATACATGTTATCTCAATGTTCCATGGATTCTTTGGACCATGGTTGAAGAGACCCCGCGTCTTCTCAAGCACTTGAGTACCTCAATACCTCGAGTGCAATATGTTCTCGATTCTCGAGTCACTCAGCCCCCTGTATGGCAAAGCACCCTCATGATCTCACGTCCGTGAAATATCCATTGGCCTCTGCTCCTCAGCCACCTGGGCGTTTGAGCTCGCGCAGTCCTTGACATTCCTGCATTGATGAGCCCCCGTAGTTATCTAGCACCTGACCTCCTCACTTCTCTGGGGTTTGTGGGAACCCGGGTGCTCGGAAACTGAGACCTTTCTTGTCAAGGGATTTTCGTGGCCCGAGTCTCATCATGGCCCGAGTTTCATGGGTCCCTCAAGCTCTCCGTGCTCATGTTTACTACGTCACTCGAGAAGTCGTTAACATCCAATTCTCCTGTGCAGTGCAATCCCCGTGTGCCACAATCTCTTGATATCATCGGCTGTCCGGTTCCATTCAGAACCTGAGTTCCGCAGTCGTTGAATCACTCACAGTTCTTCGTCCCCTAGTTGCTTCGAGTACAGAGCTATCCCAGCCATACGGCTCAGTGGCTTTTCACACCTTTCGCCGATTCTGTTTCGCGAGTTCCTGGACCCCGCGTAGGTACCAAAGTATCATGACAACCCGGCTGACGTTCGCCACTGATCCTACTTCCACTAGTGTCTTGGTATCATGTCCTCCTAGAGACCTCGATGCCTTCATCGACCCATTGTTTTCGCTACAACCGTTTCGCGGTCCTCTCATTTTCACGAGCCTTCCATTTCCCGGTCCGATCAACGTCCACGCCACTCCGGCGGTCTCGAGTCTTGTGCTTGCCGATGTCACGGGAATGCTCTGTTGCTTCCAACTTCACGCTCGTTCATTGTCTCCGTCTTGCTGACGCACTTGTCCCTTTCGACACTCGGGCTTAGTCGCTTATGTTCGTTCGAGATGTTCAGCGTCAACGATGAATGCAGTACCGACTACCTCCTCCATGCTCGTTCCCGAGCTCGATCTCTGGGTTCAGCACTGAAGGGACCGTCCTGTATCCGAAGTTCTACGCCGGCATGCCGTTAGTGGCGAGCCGCGACAATGTTCCCCGGGTCGGGTACTCCACGATCATCACCTCCCTGGCCACTCGTGCTTTGCAGCGCTCTTCCATTTTCGCCCACGCCACCCACTTCGAGAATGAAATCACCGCCACGTGCTTGCGGTTGTATCATTTTGCACTCCGCTATGGTCGATTGTTTCTTTTCATATCGTAATTAATAGTATCATACCGTGGCTACATTTGAAATGCCTGTGAGATGCAGAGCGATGGCAACACCAATCCAGCCTGCAAGTATTCTCTTCCGCGATTATCGTCCTCTGTTATACCTGGCTGTGGTCCAGCTTGTGTCCGCTGTGCTGGCAGTGGTGGTTCATTCCACAGCTACAAGTCTGTCCCTGACATCGCCCACGGTTATAAGTTCACCCTTCCCTTCGTGTCTTTTCATCAAGTCAGAACTAATTGTATGGGACAGCTTGCGCCAACAGCCACTGGCCGGGCAAGCACCGCTCTCTCTCAAGCAAGTCTATTCTCGTCGACTGGCGTACGCAGGCGCAATCGATACTAACTCAGTCGCAGCCAAACTTATTCACCCCCAGGCTGCGCACTCCTTCGTACGTACAGGGTTGCAGGCCCAGGAAGGAGGAAGGTCCGCCCTCGCCGCCGGGCCCTCTCTCTCCGCATCCTCCTGAGGAGAAGCGGCGAGAATGGTCGCCCATCGATGACGACTGGACTTCAGCTCTCACCGAGCTCCGGAACGAGATGCAACGAATCCCAGACCAGAAACAGCAGCCCAGCCGCCAGACAACGGCCAGTACCTGAATAGAGCTGCGCCGGTCTTGCCGCCGCCACGGCCGAACGACGAGGATCTCAAAGTGGCGGTGATGAGGCAGAGAAGCTGAGGGATGGGGAGCTGCATAGTGAGCAACGACGGCTCGCGCCGTGCACGGACCTGAGCGCAACACAGCAGATATCCATTCCGCACCCAATGTTCGCGTCCGACGGGCCAAGCCCACACGACCCCCGACACGCTGCCGGACGTGTTGCAGAACGTTGAAGACCATGGACCGACTTGCATTCAGCCTTACGACGGCGCGGCGCCAGTCGCACGGACCTCGATCTATGTTTCTGCTGTATCGGATGGGCTGCTTCTGGAGGAGAGTGCTAGAAAGCTGCAGCTGTGCGCGCGGCCCGGGCAGACAGAAATTTGAACGACCCGACGGGAAAGGAATTGAGCGCGCGAGGGGTTGATGGAAGGGGATGAGAGCGCGGCAGTGGTGGCCACTCAAGAGTTGCGGAAGGGGTCGGCGCTGTGGTGGGGGCGCCGGTGGGCAGAACTGGGGGCAGGTGGACCGGGTTAGTGCGCGTTGTATTCCGGCGTGGTTGTGAACGACCGCACAGGCATTGGTGGTACTTCGATCTAGACTGTCGCCCCCCTCACGACCTCGCCTCCACCGCACCAGGTAACAGCATGCCGGCTCAACTGGGACCAGCAGTTAAGGCGTCCCCGCTTGCCGTCCCGGTGCTCCGTCGTCGGTCCTCGACCTCGCCATTACCCATCCCCGTTTGCCCCTCCAGCAACACCGCTTGCCTTTTCTGCAGCTCCGTTTCCCGTTCCGATACTCTGTCGTCAGTCCTCGACCTCGCCAGTACTCATCGTCGCTTGCCATCTTGGTCTGCCGTCCTCGTTGCTTGCCATTGCCCTTGTCCTTGTCACCGCCGGTCTTCGCAAGTTGGCGCACCACCCTCAGGACGTCCGCCTGCTTGATTGCGTCGACTGAGTTCATAGACTGCCCGTGTGGTGTTGTTCGCCCGGACCAGTTCCCACCGGAGCGGTCTCGCCGGGGAGGAACGTTGTTCTAGGATCGGGGTTATGCTTCTGGAAGAATTCTTCAGACGGACCTGCGTCACCGTTTTCTGGAAGCGCAGTGTGCCATTCTAGACTGAAGCTGAAGTTGAGCTCTTGTAGACGATCGAATAGCTGTTGAGGGGTGAGGGCTGGTAGGTTTGCGGACATCCATCTACGGATGTGGCAGGCTTGAACGGTTGCAGTATGATCACTCCGATCACCACATTGCTGTTCAATCCGTGGTCGATTTTGCGGTGTGACACTGGCTTGAGTGTGGTGGTATCCGCGATTCCGATAGTCAGCGGCTCCTTTTCCCTGTTGGTAGATATTCCAGCAGTGAACTTAAGGTCGATGGGTGGAAGGGCTAGAGATCGATCATCAATAGAGAGAGGTTTCTCCTCGCTGGGCTCATGCATCTTCTCTGCGGCGACTTCCCGCTCCACAGGCAGATCCGGTCTCTGCGGTGCCTGCTCAGTGTGGAGAGCGGTAGCGTTGATGTCCGGGGCGTTTGTCGGTCCATATGCTGCGCCCAAAGGATTTGTTTCCTGATTTGCGTTCATAGCGGTGATCATACACTGCTTGCTGATCGTGGTGGAACTGGCATCGGACTGTTCCTGGCTTTGCTGGATTCTTGCAGGATATTGTTTATGCACAAAGTCTTTGCGCCACTCGAATGAACACCATCTCTTCTCTCATCCAACGCTGATTCTCATTGTGGGCTTGTACCTTTAGACTGCGGCAGAGAAAGCATAGAGTGTCCCGGAAAGCGAAGTTCACTGACCTAGACCCGAGTACCCCTCCAACAACATGCATCAAGAGAGCTGTTGACCCATTAATGCCTGTAGTGTATGGGCATTGTGAGCCTGGGAAGATGCGGCAGGTGTGGAAGTCGGGTACTTTGTGGACTCATGGGGAGTCGTCCTAAGCCACCTTCAAGTGGTCCTTTCTGTTAAGCATAGGAGTGTCTCTAGTATCGCCCTTGTGGATATTGATGAGTTTTTGAAGTGCAGCCCTGTAATTCGGCCGAGGACCCGTGTGCGGTGGAGTGGTTGAGGGCCGTAGCATGTCGATCATGCGTATCTGGAGAGGCTGCTGCTGAGCGAGCATCAATGGGTGACTCGTTGAGGTCGTCAAGGCCGTCAGGGTCATCAAGGTCGTGGCCAGCAATATCGTTGTCAGCAGTGTCGCCGCTAATAGCTGGAACAAAGCTTGCGAGATTGAAATTACGTATGATGTTAGGCTCCTTTCTGGAGGTCCATTCCTTGGTTGGTGTCTGTGTTCGTGTGAGCTC